TTTCCCCTCTCCTTCCTACCATCTAACTCTGACTAATTCTCTTTTATTAATCTTTCACTTCCCCTTAACATATACCCCCTGTACTGTATGAACCACTTAAGCAGACCCTAAAGGGCTTTCTGCCTAACACTTACACATCTTTTTATTGCATTTCTTATTCTTTACAACCTATATACAATACACTATCTCACAAATTCATCTCAAATGTATAATCGTAGTCACTTCTTAATTTACTCCTTCCTCTTACATCCTGAGTACAAAACTTTACACCCAAATTATAATGGTGGTCTAACATTTACCTGTACATTAAATTTATTGACACAGTGCTCTTACTCAGTCCATCTATAGCTTTCTTTCCCTCTACTACTTTGAAACTTAATTCATCATTCATTTGATGAAACACCTACTCCCAGATCTTGAAATACTTTACATCCCTCATTCAAGATAATATTACTTCTTCCTGCTTCTCTTCTGTAATTTTCACTGCTTGTAACATTCACTATCAACGTTTTCCTAGTACTTATACACACTCTTCCTTTGAGGAAATTTTATTTTTACTAGCAACTGATTACCCTCTTCCTGACAAACTGCAACTCAATACAGTAGTCAATAACTTCTCAGTCACCTGATACATATTCACAATGCCTTTACATAATTTCACCATAAGCTTTTTTTTAAATACATATCACCCTTCTGAGAAGAAGTACATCAGTACCTTATTATAGTAATTAATGTACACGCCTTTTAATACAGCCTCCTCTGGGTCAGTAGCCATCTCAGTGTTGGGGCTGTTTGGTGGGGACTTTGGCCTGTAAAGATTAAGAGCCATTAACATCTGTGATATATACACAAAAACTGTAGACATATATCAACAAGGTCTTTAGGTCATATAAAGGGGCGACCATTGAAATATTGTACTGCATATACAAGTACTGTACAGTATTATACAGTACTGCACTGTGAATGTTGCTGGGCTTTTATTTTTTGCATATAAAGGTGAAGACAGCACAGTTCTGTAATAGTAAAAAAGTCCTTCGTGATCTATACAGTCCACCCAAGCTGTAGTACCAAGACATAAATATTTTACTTAAAAGAGACTGGCTGCCACACTAGAGAAGGATTAAAAGGTGTGGAAAAATAAATGCAAATCAGAAAATTTATTAAATTACCAGATTTGACCATCACTGGCACAGGTACAGATACATTCTGGAGCCAGTACATGCCCAGCAGTTCCCAACAGTACATAATAGAGACATGACTGATCGCCCAAGCAACTAATGAGCTGTTCAGTGGTGAAGAAGAGAAAATATACTAAAAAAAAAAGGCTGATCTAGTGCTAATTCAAAACAAAAATAATTCTAAGTAAATCAATTAACAATATACAGTAAAGTACAGGCAAGCCCCGCAATATGGAATCCCGGGTTACGGAAATTCACTCTTACAGAATTTTGAAATCATGACCAAAAATTCGCGAGCAGCCACAACAACTATGGTGCTGCACAGTTTGAATTCTTTCCCCAGTTGGCATTCAGTTATGAGTCTGTGTTACTGTGTACCGGTACCTTTATTCAAGATGAGTGGAAAATGACCATCAAGTTCAAGTGAAAGCAGTGGTGATAAAAAATTCCAAAAAGGAATTACTGTACGTTGGACAATAAAGATGATGTTTTACGGAGGTTCAGGTAACTCCCAGTAACTCCGATTATACCACCTCCTGCAGCACTCAACATTATTTCTGGTGAGTTAAATTCAACTGTGTGCATTTATTGCCATGTCACATCATGAATGAATCATTGTACTGTATAAGTCTATTTTTATTCACATAGTATGTGCTTGTGTTATGTTTTGGGGCTGCAAAAAATTTCTATAGGAATGCATCTCAACTTATACAATGAGAATATGGTTTCATGATACGGAATTTTGCAGTGCAGAAAGATTTTCAGGAACAGAACCCTTCCGTAACCCGGAGGATGCCTGCACCTACAACTTACAGTCAACACAAAATAGAGCAAACAACAACTGGCCATGTGGGCTTGTGTGCAATTACAGTACAGTACTGTAAAATAATAGTGGTGCTTGTGTGAGAAAGATGTGGATTGGTGGCCTGGTAGTAGAATGAAAAGTGCCAATGCATTAACCCTAATCACTCAAACACAGTCATTCACACATAACGATGACCTCAGTACAGTACAGTATTAGGATTTGAACTTACGAGTCATGTGGGGAGTCCCTTGGAGTGTCACGACTAACATAAATCATAATAGAACTTATTCACATAAATATGGGGCAACCTAGTTTATATCTAACACTTACGAGTCATGTGGGGAGTCCCTAGGAGTGTCACGACGAGAAGAAGCGAGAGATACTCGTGCTGATGACTGGTTGCTCTCGCGCTGGGCCTCCCGTAACAGCCGTAAGTACTCCTCGCCATTCCCAAAGGGCAGTGGTGTCACCCGATCAGGACTACCCGGCTGGTTGGACAGGTCCACCCACGACTCTGCTAAGCAAGCACATCTTTAAGAATGCAGTTAAAACAATTAAAGCAATATACAGTATATATACATAGTATGCTGAAAACCACACAGGAGAAAGTAAAAATGAAGTTATCAAGCACTTTCATATACCATAACTCACATCTTCAGGGGTAAGAACAGACCGAGTCTGTACTCACCCCAAACATGACTGTGAACTACACAAAAGCACTTGGGGACTTTGTTTTATTTTTCCATTGTGGTTATCCGCATACACTGTACATGGATCACACGCACTTACAGTGGTTAATTTGCATATACTTGTAATAAATAAATAAATAAATAAATAAATAAATAAATAAATAAGTAAATAAATAAATAAATAAATATATATATATATATATATACATATACAGTATATATATACAGTATATATATACAGTATATATATATACAGTATATATATATATACGTGTATATATATATACGTATATATATACACGTATATATATATACACTATATATATATATACACGTATATATATATATATATATACACGTATATATATATATATATATACACGTATGTATATATATAAACGTATATATATATACACGTATATATATATATATATACACGTATATATATATATATATATATATATATATATATATATATATATATATATATATATATATATATATATATATATATATATATATATATATATATATATATATATATATATATATATATATATATATATACACGTATATATATATACACGTATATATATATACACCTAGACCCCGACTTACAACTATATGGACTTACGTCCATTGGTACTTACGACCTGCTTTGACCGTACATCCATACGGGACATACGACTGCGACCGCCGTGACCAAAAATTTTTTCAAATGACGCGCGCATTTTCTATACCGAAACGTTTCCGTCCCGGGCGAGAGGGAGGGGTGGCTTGGGTCGCCTCGTGGCTGCACTCACTCAGTGGAGCGCTTTGTTTGTGTTTGGCTATCGTATCCTATACTGATCGCGCTGTGAACTTTCGTTATTATTGTATTTAATTGACTTTATAATGACTGGAAAGCGTAAAAGTGAGAGTGCTGGTGGTACTCCAAGGAAAAGGAGACAGGCAATTACTTTTGAGATGAAACTGAAGATAATAACACAGTATGAGAATGGAAAAACAGTAGCAACGATCTCACGCGACCTAGGTTTCTCACACTCGACTATATCCACTATTCTGAAGGACAAGGAACGTATTCGTGAAGTAGTGAAAGGAACAACACCTATAAAGGGAACTATAATAACAAAGAAAAGACAAGGTCCTATCCACGATATGGAAAAATTATTGGTGATATGGATAGAAGACCAGATGCAGAAGCGTGTACCCTAAGTGTTCTAACCATACAGGCTAAAGCAAGAAGCCTGTTCCAAAGTCTGAAGGAGCAGGCAGGAGATGAATGTGATCAAACCTTTACAGGAAGTCAAGGGTGGTTTGATAGATTTAAAAAACGCTACAGTCTACACAGTGTTAAGGTGAGTGGAGAGGCAGCTAGTGCCGATGTTGGTGCTGCCGAAGCTTTTAAGGAGGAGTTAGATGATGTGATTGTGGAAGGGAATTATTTGCCAGAGCAAATATTCAATGTGGATGAGACTGGATTATTGTGGAAACGCATGCCTGACCGGACATACATCCACAAAGAGGCAAAAAAAATGCCCGGATTCAAGGCATTCAAGGACAGAATTACACTTCTGTTGGGGGGGAATGTTGCTGGTTTCAAGCTAAAGCCCTTCATGATCTATCATTCAGAGAACCCCAGGGCTTTTAAACATGTCAGCAAGCACACACTGCCAGTGTTTTATCGCAGTAACAAGAAAGCCTGGATGACCCTAGTACTATTTGAGGATTGGTTCATGACTTGTTTCATTCCACGAGCCAAGGAGTATTGTCTGCAACAAAGGATTCCATTCAAGATTTTACTGATTTTGGATAATGCTCCGGGACACCCACCACACCTGGACGACATGCACCCTGATGTTAAGGTAGTGTACATTCCACCTAACACTACCTCTATCATCCAACCCATGGATCAAGGTGCTATTTCTGCCTTTAAAGCGTATTATTTACGCACGACCTTCGCTCAGGCTGTTGCTGCTACTGAAGGTGAGAAAACGCTCAGACAGTTTTGGAAGGAGTACAACATTTTGTCATGTATAAAGAACATTAGTGCAGCATGGGATCAGGTTACAGGTCAGTGCATGAATGGAATATGGAAGAAAATCCTGAAAAGATATGTGAACAGTTTCAAAGGATTTAATGAAAGTGAAGTTATTTTGGATATTAGTAACAAGATAGTGGAGTTAGGTAAACAGCTGGAGTTAGAAATTGATACTGAAGATGTTGGACAGTTGGTTGAAAGTGTAGCAGAAGAGCTCAGTAACGAGGATCTTATTGAACTAGATGCACAGAAAGTTGCAGAGGAAGAAGAGAGACAAAATGTAGAAGAAGAGCCTGCACCCCCCAAAAAGTTTTCAGTGAAACATATGGCAGAGGCATTTGCTACAATTAATAAAGCAATGCAAATGTTTGATGACATGGATCAAAATTATGAGCGTTATGCCAAAGTTGACAGAATGATCCAAGATTCACTTGCTTGCTACAGAGAAATTTATAATGAAAAGAAAAAGAAAACTGTGCAGTCTAAATTGGACACCTATTTCAAGAAGTCCCCCAGTACTGGCTCCTCACGCCCCACCAGTGCTGCCTCTTCACTCCCTCAAGATGATCCAATACCTTCAACCAGCAAGTTACCACAGTACATAAACCAGTCTGAAGGAAGCGACATTGAAGGAAGCGACATTGATGACCCACCCAGCCCTGTCTCCTCTTCTGCTTCTTCCAATTAATATAGTCTCCATGTATCCTGTAAATAGAAAATTATGGGGGCCCCGTGTGCATTCAGCTGACTACATTTAAGGTAAGTGCTCAGTCACACTGTATCCATTCCTCATTATTTATTACTTTTACTGTACTGTATCCATTCCTCATTATTTTTTACGTTTAGTGTACTGTATTTCATTGTAGATTTTTAAAAAAAATTTGAAAAAAAAAAATTTTGAATTTTTTTTTTTTTGAAAATTTTTATATTTTTTTATTTTTTATCTATATCGGACTTACGACCATGGACTTACGACCTGGATTTGGGTCCCTAACCCCGTCGTAAGTCGGGGTTTAGGTGTGTGTATATATATATATATATATATATATATATATATATATATATATATATATATATATATATATATATATATATATATATATATATATATATATATATATATATATATATATATACACCTAGACCCCGACTTACGACTACGTGGACTTACGACCGTCTCAGATATAGATAAAAAAAAAATAAATAAATTAAATTAAATTTTTTTTAAATGACACACGCATTTTCTATACCGAAACGTTTCCAGTTAATGTAGTCTCCATGTATAATTAGAAAATTATGGGGGCCCCATGTGCATTCAGCTGACTACATTAAAGGTTAAGTGCTCAGTCACACTGTATCCATTCCTTATTATTTATTACTTTCACTGTACTGTATCCATTCATCATTATTCATTACTTTTACTGTACTGTATTTCATTGTAGATTTTTTATTTTTTATTATTGTCGGACTTACGACCATGCCGGACTTACGACCTGGATTTGGGTCCCTAACCCCGTCGTAAGTCGGGGTCTAGGTGTGTGTGTATATATATATATATATATATATATATATATATATATATATATATATATATATATATATATATATCATCTGGTCTAATTACACACACACACACGCATGCACCAATTAGAATCACCTTTACATTTGCCCCAGCTACATTCACCTTCAGATTTAACACATTAACGCTACCTGGGGATTACGTTTGGTTTGATTAGATTAGGTTATGTTAGGTTAACTTTAGGGTGGTTCAGGTGAAATAAGCTTGGGGCTTATTCAGGTGGTCTAAAGATTAGTTCAGAAAAATATTGTATCAAGGTTGTGGCCTTACAATATAAATCAAATGATACCTGGTCATTCTTACACAACTGTCAAGACCTATCATCTAGGTGTCACGCGTTCATTCAACTGTCGGCTCTGTGTCCAACAGTATCGCCGAGCACGTCCAGGAAGCCGCGCTTGTTTTCTTATGATAAACGCCACATTTCCCTTTGCTCATCATGCCTCGCCTCGCCTCGTGTGGGGGTCATCGTCACTGGAACCATCGATATTAAGTATCTCTCATTTTAATTGTCGGTGACAAGCGTGGTTACTAATCTATTATAGTAAACTGTCTCTAATGCCTTGCCGTTGAAGTGTAGTGATACATTATAATACCAACAACACTGATAGTGGAACGCCCATCCGTATTTTATGCCGCACGGCAACGATGTATCACATTCGCATTCACAATATATATATAACCACACCCAAATACAGACACCAAGTGTATGTATAATAATTAAATGGTGGGTTATGTCAATTAAGTTTTCCACTGTTATGCCCATATGACAAGTGTACCAAATATCATCTTTGGCTTTTTGCAGGTGTTGGAATAACTATCGCAACATTATAAGAAATAAACATTTAACAGTGTAAACAAACAACTATTTCTAGTTTTACGACTCGAACGAAAGGCATGTCCTAAACGCACTTAACCTTCTTACGGTGTTTTATGAATCATACAATAAGAGTGGTAGCTGTGTTTTATATAATACATACTTAACCTCTTTATAATGTTTCGGTCACCATTTACACTGCATGTAATTGTCTCCCACAAAAATAAATCTTTTATTGTATTCTACAGCTCATACGTAATGTTGTTGTAATGATGTGGTGTAGATGTTGTTATTATTATTACTTTATAATTTTTATTTTTGTATTTTTTTAATTTTACTTATCTGAATTATTATTATTATTATTACATATTCGCCCCCCAGGCCCCGATGT